ACCAAGTAAGCCACTTTATACATGGTTACTGATTCAAATAATTTGCATTATCTTCTTGCATTCAAGATAATAATATAAAAAATCTTCCCACGACATATCTTCTTGCCTAGTTATCCTGGAATTAGTGAATGGCCAATAGCTTAGAGGAACATGATTAAGTAGTCAGCAACCATTCTTGCAACAGAATGACACTGAGTTTTCGAATAACATTCACATTAGTTATGATAATATATAAGAGATGAACTTTAAGTGCGATGTCTTGAATCCATGGGATGAATGAACAAAGCAAGAAAGAAAAAAAGTAACTCAATAAAGTGAATAAAGTAAACCTATGTGTACACATTTAGGTCATTCAATCAGGTAAAGTTCTCAAATGATCACTAGAATGCATGTTACAAACTGCTTTGGTCTTTAGACAGAATGAACCAACGCAAAATAATAGTTCGATAAATAGTAATCGAGTAGTGCTGCTTGATTAACTTGGAGTATCGAGTTCCATGAACCTCGTCTGGTTAACCAGTTCACTAGCTACTAGCCGGTCTCATTCAACAACTATATGAAGACGCCACATGCCAGCCAAGTAATTCACAATGGGAAGCTCAGTGATGCTTTTGAAGTGAAGACAGGAGGGAAACAAGGCTGTCTACTATCACCCACGATATTCCTGATTGTGGTCGACTGGACTAGATCATGCAACAAACAGTGTGTAGCGAGAAGAGGGGGATACGCTGAACCGCGGAAATGAACCTAGATGATTTGGATTTCACCGATGACTTATGTCTAATGTCTTGTGGCACGAACTTGAAGACCTACAGGCGAAAACTAACAAGTTGGCATAAGAGGCAGGGCAGCGAAGACGGGACTTCTTTCAGGTGAATGTAGAGAAGACAGAGGTGATGAAGATATCCAACAACAACAACAAGCTCCAATCACCATCAACAGGAGAAACTTAAAGGAAGTAGCCTCTTTCACTTATCTGCCTAGACAGCACTGTTTCAACTGCAGGCGGCAGCAAAGACAAGGACCTCAAAGCCAGCTAGGATCGGAAAAGCAAGACAAGAGTTCATTAACCTGAAACCAGTGTGGAGATTTTCTGCACTCAGCATGTGGAATAAGATCCCAATTTTCAACACCAGCGTCAAGTCAGTGCTTCTATGTGATGGTTCAGAGACTTGGCGCATTACGAAAGGGATTTCCAACAAACTACGGACATTCATCAACAACTGCCTAACGCTGGCTCGTTACTGAAGATCAGATGGCCAGAAATAGTAAGCAACAAGAAACTCTGGCCTGGTGACGAACCAACCAAGAACCAATCGCTCAACAAATATGCAGTGGAAGGAAGTGGAGATGGATTGGATTGGGCATACACTGAGAAGGTTGGCTGGGGACATCACACACCAGGCCAGGTCGTCGAGTGCAACCCAGATGGGAAGCGACGAGTTGGGCTTCCGAGGGTGACATGGAGGAGATCGTGCGAGGAGGAAATGAGAGGTTGTGGGCTATCGTGGAGCCAGGTTGAAAAGATTTCAGAGAACAGAGTGCACTGGAGACGTGCTACTGAAGCCCTATGTTCTATTAGGAACCCAAGGGATAAATATATATATATATATATATATATATATATATATATATATATATATATATATATATCGAGTTCCATGGATCAAGAACACAACATGATACAGTAAGGGCACCAAGAAATGAGCTACACAAGATAGTATAACAACACTTTGAAGATATAAAGCGAAGGGAAGTGGATAAATAAAAAAGGAAAACAGTAAGAATAGAATAACTACAAAGCCAGACCAACAAGATTCACTCAAAACAAAACATTTATTACTTTTCAGCAAAGAAAATAGAAAGGAGCTGCAGCATAACCGCCATTGGTCTCGATTCTGAGCCATATCTGATTACGTCTAAAAGTACTGAATTGTATGATCGCTCGGACCCCTTTCAGGGAGTTGTGATGCATCAATAGATACTAACCCGACACAACTATCCTTCATCCCATGGCGCCACGTCATACAATGATCACCCTCCGCTTCTTCCATCCAGTCTCAATCGTGTAAAGGAAATATTTATTTTGAGGTAACTATATTGCTTCTTCCTTGACTGGTAATTTAAAATAGTTGAACTGTAGACTTCCCGTACATTAGACTATTTTATCTCTACCCTTGAAAAATAATTATTGACTTTGTGAGGAATCTGACAGCTAACAGAATTAAAGTGTATAGTGGAAATGTAGTTGGTCAATTATTTGATAGAAATATACACCGGTTACAACCTTGACACAAAACCATCATAAGAAAAGATGCAAAACGATAAGAGTGCATGAATCTGTATGCTAACCTATAAGTCATTCCTAGTGTGTACAAGTTAACAATACTGCTTTGATTTACAGTCCAAATGAAGGGTAGAATGAATTCAAACTCATCAACAAATACTTATTTGACAAACAGTTATAGTAGTCTTCCAAGTTGGTATTCATCATGGACTGTGCACCAAGGAGGACTCCCATGCTAGAACGAAACAGCTGTACAGTGCTCCCAAGTTTCCAATCTCCGTCCAACTGATGTCAGTCCATGACGAATACCAACTTAAAACCAATAAATCCCCAGAACCGCCAAACTGAATTAACCTAGTGGTTATTGGTGACTATCTCCGAGATGAGATGTCCCGAAGTTTCAATGAGAAGTTATGACCGGTAGGGCAAACCAAGACAGACAGAGATAAATACTCAACGATGTCATTTGATGAAGGCAGAGCTATATCACGAATTGACAGAAGTAGGAAATAGGGACCAGTAGATTACAACACAGTGTTTCAATAAAGAAGTGATCGCTGAGCCTGATCCATGGCGAGGTGCGCACTGCTGAGGATTCGTATACCAAGGCGAAAAAGCTGCTCATGAACCACAACCTATGCTAAAAAATGTTATTTATTTGACTGCGTTAAATCTAATCAGGAAACTAATAGGGAATTAGGCTCCATCACATTGCCTAAGGTTTACTCTTACTCTGGAATAAGTAGTCACACTTGCAGATAAGTAGACGAAAGCAAGAAATCTTAGTGATCATATACACAGCTGAACTATTTTATACATACATTGAAGACAACTATCAAATGTAATCCCCTGATTAACAGAAACTGATAATAATGTGAGAACAATACATCATGCATAAAGATAGAATCACTTTTTAGATGGTGTTATGTTCTTTGAGCTGGATCGTTGAATCGTCATGGACCGAAATGTATGCCAACCAATGCAGACAAATCCTATTCAAAAGTGTGATAAACAAATCATCACGACCTTGAACAAACTCGTCAAAGCGGGACATATTACAAAACAAGAGTAATGGCAAATGAAATCCAATGGACCTGTTCCCCCACGTTTCTATGGTAGACCAAAAGTACACAAACCAAACGTCCCCTACAACCAATTGTTTCACTTCAAACAACCCCTACATACAACCTTTAAAAAGAACTCTTCAGAAAATCAAAACATCCATTACCATTAGGATCATGAGATCACTCTATCAACTCTCCGACACAGTTTTTCAAAAGGATCAAGCATATTCATATAGACAACGACAAACTGATGGTGTCTTTTCACGTTACAGCTCTATACACCTCAGTTGAACCAAAACTGGTTAAGGATACAATAAGTCTTCTCCACACCAATGATACACACCTCTCGGAACACACACAACTACAACGTTCAAGTTTGACGGGATTAGTTGATTTGTGCCTTACAACATATTTTCAATTCAACGGTAAACTCGACAAACAGACAAAGAGAACACTAATGGGATTGCCTATATCAGAACTAATTGCACAGATTGAAAACTGTGGTATTGCTGTTGATCAAACCAAAACTTTGGATCCCATATGTAGACTACGCGTTTGTCATCATTAAAAGAAACGAATCGAAGAAACGCTTACATATTAACCAACAACAGTTTCGACGACATCAAATTCACAATTGAAGATGAATCAAATAACAAACTTTCATTTTTAGATGTTCTGATTACTAGACCAGGTTCAGGGAAATCGAAAACTGAGGTGTGCAGAAAACTAACTCATATTGATCAAATCCCCAACTACAATATCAACAAAATCAGTTGTATAATAACATTGTTCAGAAGAGCGAAGACACACTGTAGTACATCAACCCGGCGGAGAAGAAAGGAGAACTACTTGATGACTGTTTTCCGAAGGAATGACTATCCACGACACTTCATCAGATCTTCACATAATTTGTCATCAACCAAGAAGCCAACCTCGAAAACTAACAAACAGATTATCCTAACCTTCATGAAGAACATCTCCGAGATCACGACTAGATCGTTGAAGCCTATTGGGATCACGGTAGCTCACAAGCCCAGAAAATCTCTTCAGTCTCTGTTGTGAAGGCCGAAAGATATGATAGCAAAGGAAGATAAACCAAACACTGTCGGATAGAGTGGCTGCACTCTTCACATCCGTCTACATGAACATCAACTAGCAGTCAAGCGTTATGACAGGATTAACCATATAGCTCAGAAAACACAACACTATCAAGATCATCCTCCTGAGCTATAAATATTGTCTATCAACTCAGAATGAACGAAATAATGAAGACAGAAGAAAGCTGAAATCTTAGTTGATGGGCGCCATATTCTGTAAAAAAAAACACATTCACAGGTATTAAGTTTATGAGAAACAAACGCTACAATTATGCAATGACAAAAAATAGCAGCAGAATCAGTAACTGATTCTCAGTTTAAATATAAGCACATGACATGGTTGATGAACTGTGAAATTTGTGAGATACAGTTAAACTTTATTCATACGGAACACAATAATTAGTAGTCAGGGTGGATACCAAAGACTGAGAAAACGATCAACCGATCCGTAAAACAAGATATATAATGTCAGGAAACGTTTTATGGACTATCTAACTAACAATTAGAAAAAGTGATTGCTAAACCATCAAGAAAATAATGAACCGAACTCACCATAATCGACTGCATATGTTGTCGTTCAGCTTCCAGTGCACGACTAGATCGTGCATCAGCCTCTTTGAGACGTTCTTCTAGTACGGTGACTTGAGCGGTCAAACGAGCATTCTCTTCCCGTAGTCGGTCCAAGCGACTCTCACTTTCAGAACTTCTACCGACTTTAAGATCTTGCACCCGTTCCTCCATTCGTCGCATCTGATCCTAACAGCACGTAGGGAAAGATTACAAAATTACATACTATAAAAACAACTGTTAAGTAAAAAAAATTATTAGTACAGTCCTTCCAAATATAGCATCTTGCAGTTTTAAATTGGCTGGCACTATACATTAATGAACTAGGATATTGACAATACGATAAAACAACACATGTATATTGCATAAGCACACATCATCCGCTAAAGAAACTGAGAAACTTTGTAGAAGCAACTTTCAATTATTTATAGAAACAGATGGTATACAAACAGAAAAAATTAAACGAAGTGATTCTAACATGAAATGAAACCTATTTATGTGCAATAGCTGAAATAGGTTCGCAGTAGAATATGAGTATAGCCCACTTACACCCGGAATGCAGTGGTCAAATTGAAATGACTCTCTAACCAGGTATATATTTGATTGCTAGCCGTGCTTACAATGCACACGACGGTGCTTTTTTGTTTCAACTAAAGTTATGATGCTTGAATGCGTGGTTTCATATAAGACAGTTCAAATAAAAAACCATACGAATCAAAATGAGGAAACACACGTAACTAACGACGTGAGATAGTTCAAGGATCACTAAACCAATTGGTAACCGGATTCAGGATCGACTAACGCTGATAAATGAACAGGATTTAGTGCGTTAAAAGTTTCGACATTATCAACCACGGTGGTTATTTACCCTTAGATGAAGATATGTGATGAAACTGAGAATAATGTCCCAGTAATTAATACACACTTTATCAATAGACTGACAGAAGTAATACGCCGTCAAATACTGATTCGACCAACATAGTCGGATCAGTTAGCTGAGAACTCTTGCCAAAAGCTGGAAAAAATTGACCTCTATCTCTACAGTGCCTTACCAATTGCATTTCACTTTCGTTGATCTTTCCTTCATCAAAGTGAATACTTAAAGACTCTGGAAATGACAACTTTTTGAAAACTTTTGATGAATATCTTCAACACTGTGTGAATGAAAATATTTGATTAAAGCAGGCTTCCAAATTGCCAGTCGGTAAATGTAATCAATTAGCTGCACTAACTTATTCACTAATATAGGCTATCATTTATATTAAGTTCGATCTCTGCTGAAACTCTATCACCTTTAGCCAGTAGGCAGTCGATAGCTGCAACTAACTTAACAGGGTGGTTGAGCTTGCATATCACAGTGACCTAACGAGCTACACTGGCTGGAACGCTTATCTCATCGAGGTCCTACAATGCCAGAATCAGCTGTTGGATAGTTGTTAAACGGAAAGCAGACATCACTGTAGTATAAATTGCTACACTATGACGGGGGTCTGAGGGCGAAATTGTACTCCTGATGCCTGGATGGGGTATAACAGCAGCACAGTTGTGACCAACTGTACCACGTTGACGCTGCCTTCACAATCGAAAGACGGGGGTAGAAAATGTCGACCCGCTAAAGAAAATATTCCTCCCTATCTCACGATCTTCAAGTGCTGGTGGCATGGGTTTTCTCTCTCCAGCGTTAGAACAACCAGACGTCACAAAAACATCCTACAAAAGGCTGTGTAACAAGCCACGAGCATATATCGCATAAGCTCTGCAGTCACTCTATCAGATATCCCAAGAAGAAATACGCTTCCAGAAGATGGTCACAGACAGAATCGCACATCATATCTGAAAGCATGCCAGAGATACACCATTATTATTATTATTATTTGTCCCTTGGGTTCCTAATAGAACATAGGGCTTCAGTAGCACGTCTCCAGTGCACTCTGTTCTCTGAAATCTTTTCAACCTGGCTCCACGATAGCCCACAACCTCTCATTTCCTCCTCGCACGATCTCCTCCATGTCACCCTCGGAAGCCCAACTCGTCGCTTCCCATCTGGGTTGCACTCGACGACCTGGCCTGGTGTGTGATGTCCCCAGCCAACCTTCTCAGTGTATGCCCAATCCAATCCATCTCCACTTCCTTCCACTGCATATTTGTTGAGCGATTGGTTCTTGGTTGGTTCGTCACCAGGCCAGAGTTTCTTGTTGCTTACTATTTCTGGCCATCTGATCTTCAGTAACGAGCCAGCGTTAGGCAGTTGTTGATGAATGTCCGTAGTTTGTTGGAAATCCCTTTCGTAATGCGCCAAGTCTCTGAACCATCACATAGAAGCACTGACTTGACGCTGGTGTTGAAAATTGGGATCTTATTCCACATGCTGAGTGCAGAAAATCTCCACACTGGTTTCAGGTTAATGAACGCTTGTCTTGCTTTTCCGATCCTAGCTGGCTTTGAGGTCCTTGTCTTTGCTGCCGCCTGCAGTTGAAACAGTGCTGTCTAGGCAGATAAGTGAAAGAGGCTACTTCCTTTAAGTTTCTCCTGTTGATGGTGATTGGAGCTTGTTGTTGTTGTTGGATATCTTCATCACCTCTGTCTTCTCTACATTCACCTGAAAGAAGTCCCGTCTTCGCTGCCCTGCCTCTTATGCCAACTTGTTAGTTTTCGCCTGTAGGTCTTCAAGTTCGTGCCACAAGACATTAGACATAAGTCATCGGTGAAATCCAAATCATCTAGGTTCATTTCCGCGGTTCAGCGTATCCCCCTCTTCTCGCTACACACTGTTTGTTGCATGATCTAGTCCAGTCGACCACAATCAGGAATATCGTGGGTGATAGTAGACAGCCTTGTTTCCCTCCTGTCTTCACTTCAAAAGCATCACTGAGCTTCCCATTGTGAATTACTTGGCTGGCATGTGGCGTCTTCATATAGTTGTTGAAGGAGGTTGATAAAGGTTCGTGGTATTTTGAAGTGCTGAAGCAACTGCCTGCCAAATTACTTCTAGGTCGACTCTGTCGAAGGCCTTTTAAAGTCAATGAAGCGTTGCAATTCGGTCCGCCTATGATTTTTACTTCATGAAGCCAGCCAGCCTGTTCCGGTCGTAATTTTTTAATCCAGTGCATCCTTTAGTCCCTCCAGGATGATGCAACTCAATATTTTGCTCACTTGGGGTGAACAGGAGCGTGATTCCTTGCCAATTCTTGCAAACTCTTAGGTCGCCCTTCTTCGGGAGCTTGACAAGATAACCCATCTTCCAACTGCAGGTACCTTCCCTTCCTGCAGACCTTCTGCAATAGTGGTATGAGCATTGTCCGCTGTTGTCTCTGCGTCTGTTCTCAGTGCTTCTGATGGGATTCTATGTGGTCTTGCTGCTTTATGGCGCTCAGGACTTCGACTTTCGTTGGAGGATTTGTGTTCACTGGTAGTTCTGTGGCTGCATGTGGTATTTCTGGACGAAATGCAGGTAGTGGTCGATTCAAGAAGTTTTTGAAGTGGTCAGCTCATCGTTTCCTTTGTTTCTCTTCTTCGGTAATTAGATTTCCTTCATCATCTTCTATTGGTTTCATCTGCGTTCATCCACACTATACTGAGTAAAAATCATAGGGCATGGACAATAATAAAATAAACTGTTGTTTACATACTTGGTAATGCAAGACAATACCTATTTGATAAACAGTTCTTTAGAACTACTACTCCTATGTAGTGAACCCACCGAATAAGTCATGTTGAATTCTAATGTGGAACTTCAGATATCACAGATAAACTAGCCCATGTTGTTGAAAGTGTATCGATGCAAACATGTGACATACATGCCACATCATCGTTCACGATGACACGTGATGATGGCTAAAACAATGGCATGGTTGGAAACATTTATGAGAAACTGGATTCAGGTACATACTGACTATTGGTTTGATTCCTATGGAGGATGCGTTCTTCAATGAGATCTTAGATGCTTAGAAACTCAAGTTCAGAATGCTAGGTGATATGGGTCTAAATGAATCAATGTCTTAACGAATCCAGTCTCCCTGCATGCTTCTTTTCAGCACTAACCACCTTCCAACTCAGTCTCCCATCTTCGAAGCGATTTCTTCTTGTTTAACTATTGGTAACTTTAGTTAATGATGTGTTGTAACAGATTCGAAGAAAATCCGATGTTTCATCGTGTAACAAGTGTAGAAAGAACACATGATTTGTTCCATTATTTCCGGAGGCATACACCGTTGAGTTTACTTCATTTGGTCAAAAACAGCAAATTTGAAACCGTATATGATGCTGACAAAATAACATTTAAACCCTCAGTCTTTAACTTGAAATGAGATTAATTAGTCTGTTTTTTGATGCTCATTTCACTTCTAAGAAATGTCAATCACCTATAAAAATAGATCAAACAGGTCCCTTTTTGATTCATATTTCTCCTGATATAACTACACTAGTATAAATTACGAAACTCATACGAATAATAATCATACTGATATAGAAACACTTACTCGAATCAATTCAAAATTACTCTCCATATCACCCATTAATATATCAGATTGTGAAGCACTAGCTGGGGAATCTGGACCGTGATGTAGACTTAGCAAGGGATTTGCACTGCATTAACAAGGTAGATTTAACAATGATATAAATACTATCAGAAAATACAAGCAAACAAACAAAATGAAAAATTTCACGGTGTTTGAATATACATATGGTATGTGTGGTAGGAGAAAGAATAAATACTCCAAATCAATATATTGTAACACAGCGAATCTGTAATTAGATAACAATCAATTTTCAACATTCTAAAATACAAAGACCTCGTGTCACCCACGGACTGCATAGTTTAGATTAACTAATAATACTCACTGCTTAGGAGAAAATGCATTTAACAGTAAAATGAAGTAGGATTCACTTGGAAGCTTGTCTTTTTTTAGTAAACGCAGATAACAAAGGTGATCGTGTGGGTTAGTTAGCAACAAGTCTACAGACGACACATCATGAAGATATTAGCTCAGGGGGAAGGGAAGGTTACAAGACCACATTTGGTGAACACATCATTTCATAACAGGTAAGAAATGTTTCCCCAGAGCTACAAGAGGGGCTAGGTGGTGAATATTGACAGAAATTACTAAAAACGTACCGAAATTTAATCCGACGTCAGTTGATTAGAACTGATGAGAACAGAAAGTTCGCTGTTTGACTAGATCTCAGTTGACAATAATCTATACGCTCTCCGACTGAACGGTGTATTAACGACTTAAAAGAATAGTGAAACTCATCATTGCCTCTTTAGAATGTCTGCCTACGTGATTAATGGAGTTCGGATGAAGTGAAGGATAAGTTCTACTGAAAGCCAAAGGCTGATGTGGTTGTCGTAGTAGATGATTTATATACACAAGTGGGTAAGCTAAGTCAGGCAGAAAGGTATTTATGTGGAACTTTTGGAATCCCAGATAAATCAACAGATAACGCAAATCGCCTACTGACTGTGGTAAAGTAGCTAGCCATTTCTGGCCAGCACAAGTCATAAAGAGAGGGATTTTCTGAAGTGGCGTCCATCAGCTTCAACTTAGAGATGGACACAGACAGACCGAATCACCAACAGCTATCGCAAAAACGATGAGAGAAGCATGAGTTTGGACAGTGATCAGACGCCTTAGTTCAACCACACATAAGTCCGCGCATACATGGACAAACAAAAATTGCGGCTTCAAGAGAATTCCGAACGCAGCTCGATGATGAGAATACTAAGACTTCTTTCAATGAGGAACTGGTCACTCACCCTAAAGAAGACTGGAACATCACATGTCCAAGTTACCCCAGACAGTGGAGGCGTATCAATAGTATGGATAGATTTGCCTTTCCAGCACAATATAGTACATAAAAATTGCTATCATACCTGATAAGAGGTACATTTAGGAGCCACTTAGCGCCAAAAACATAAGCCTTTGGACACACAATGGTCATCTCTTACAGCAGATGACGTGTAGCCAGAAATCCAGCCACTTCCAGGCATCGTGTAATTTGGAAAATGCTAGACAGATCTTTTGAATTCAAAATAGGATTACATCACCAACCAACCCATTAGTCTACTATGGCTCCACACAAGTAAAAGAAATGGTCAATATATTTAACCACCTCATCCCTCAACCTCAGAATGGAACTCTGTGAGCACCAGTGAAGAGGCATTATTTTATATTTGACAGATGCAAAACGCATCCCAAAGGTAGTTAGATTTCCGCCCAATTTCTTCAAAAGATTTTGTTTTTTCAGTACCCTTGCCTAACAGAACTATTTTATCTGCACACCCTACGTCAACCAGCTTCTCACGACGAGTTAGTCGAAAATAAGTGACTGCATCATAGGAGGACACCACTAGTTGTCGTTACTTCGTACGAAAACTTTAAACAATAACACGCCTGAAAGAGCTCATTTAGATGACACTGACTAGTATAACATGCTTGCCTGTCACTACATCTAGTCAGACCATAAACCCCCACTTTTTGATCGGTCAGTGAAAATGCTGCTCGTGGGTCAAAAAATATGGTAAGTGTCAAACATCGATAAGCATAACCACGTTCCAGAATATGACGAGTGGGAAAGATATGATCGATACACCTTCGTTCAAGTGTGAAACTTACTTGGTTTATTCAAGATGATGATCCACAGGCTCTGGTTAGGTGTCATACAGCTATGGGCACAAAGATCTCCCTGTCGTTCCCACAGTAAGACATCCCTCCTTTCCTATACACTGAATAATTTGCTGTCTAAACCAGTTTGAGAGGATTACTTCTGATTCAGTCGCGCTAGTTAGTGCTCTTATTACTCTATTCAGTAATTTTCTACCAGTGCGTGACAGTGAACTTTCAAATTCCGTTGCTATCCATCGTTTCAGGTTTGAAATAGCTTTCTCAACTTCGAGGAGAGTGAGAGAACAAACACATACATCTCATTTAAGTTTACACTGGGGAAGAGAAGTGGAAATCCACTCAGCAACCTTGCGCACATTCCTGCAGTAGTTAATCAGCCACACCTACCATCAGGACTAACGACACTACATAGCTGGCTAGACCTCAGTAGGTCGAGTAGGTTTTGAGCTCCTTAACAACTGGTTGAAAGTCAGGTGCCTACACCGATGAGCCACAGCTCGGACTAGATATTGAGTAGCTAGAGCGTGACTTCAGATCCGCTGAACTGCCCTTCGAAATTTTCAGTCTATCATTCCGGCAACCTGTTTTAAAAGATTACCAGAAACCTATTCTTCTAAATGACAGTCTAGCTGACCATCGTATTCCTCCTCTCATTTTCATGATCAGGCCTAAGTAATAACTGAGTGCCGCATAGTGCTGATGCCTTCTCCAGCTCTTCCACTTTCACTAACCACCATAGCCCACGGTCATTGCTCAGAGCCTTAGCGAATTAAGGTTTAAGTTGCCATCATTCTTCTTCGTAGTCAAAAGCAGCTGGAAGTCTTCTCATATCAATCATTTTGGATGGGATGTGGAAATCCAATCCCTTTAGCCAACCTTTGAGTGTAGGTTCCCAACTCCCTCTATCGCTGTTTCTATAGCAGAGTGAATATCACGCCAGGCTTCATCAATGTGAGGATTTCCGCCAAGCTCGGGTAAATACCTAGTTATTTCCTCCCAATATGCAAACATTTTCATCTTCCATTTGAGTACATAGGGGCCTTACTGCTGTTTCTTGCAACCAATAAGGCGAAAACATACACATACCCGTAATAACGCATGATCGGAGTCCGCACAAGTACTCCAGGAAGAATGGCAAGCATCCACCAATCCTCTTTAACAATGACTTGATGAAAAATATAATATATCTGTTTGCATATTTCGTTTGATATCAGCGTACACTAATTGAAAGTGTTCGTCCTATGCTAAGTTAATGATGGTCATCAACAAGTTATCGTCAGAGAAAACATGAAGTAGACAACCACCGTTATTGGTTTATCAGTATAGAATGCCTTTGATACTCTCAAGACGCTTTTCCGTTTTTCTCAGCTTTTCTACATGAGCGTTAGAGCTAGCCGGAACTACCACTATAACTGAACTTTTCGTCTTGTGTAGTATAATCGACAACTTTTGACAAAATTTACCCATCGAGTATTCCGAAATGGTTTCTTTTGGCGCCTGAACAAAGATTACAAATAGGCATCGAAGAGTATCAGAGCATTTTCAAGTTCAAGTTCTCAGCTTTCCTACATGAACGTTAGCGCTGCCCCATACTATAACGTTTTGCTTTGTGTGGAAATATTTATGGCTTCGTGTTCAGCTAATTTGTTATATCATATTACATAAAGTCATTTGGTGTCAAGACGAAGACTACAAATAGGTATCAACTGTCAAGATCGTTTCTAATTCACTTCACCTAAACAGCTCACAGATGGCTATCAACTGGTTTTCAATCGAGAAGTGCGTTTCTGCTGTGAATCTTAATGTCGTCCGAATATCAGTGAGTTCATGAAAACCAGCTATCTGCTGACACTCATAAAGTGAATTACATAGATTCATCAGATTGGTGGAATGAAGTCAAGTGAATAATCACACTGTTCAATATGGGTGTCTCAGAAGTAGCATATATCTATTTATTGCTTAATAATAAAGACGAATAGAACTTATCGAATAAACTATTTCACCAGTTAACGCGATAACTTCTAAGCATTTACAATGAATTTCCCGTAAAAAGAGGGTAGATATAACCGAAATGTAGTATAAATCGACGTCAATCATGCTTTTCAATTGTTTCACTGAATCATTTCCAATATAATAAGGCTGTTTTAGTCAAGCAAAGCATGTGATTTTACTATATACTGAGATAAAAAACTGATTCTCGATCAGCAGATTAAGTTTTAGATGAGTTTTATCAAAACAGAACACTGAAAAGCTACATCAGTTAGACCTGCCACACCCAATAACAGATAATCAGTTAGGAGGAAACTAAAAACAATACAAAACCCTACTTTTAATTCAGGACCCTAACCGTTAGCTGATAACCTTGACGTGGTGGTCGGGCTTGCATACAACAATGACCTAATGAGCTTCATTGGCTGGAACCATGGTTCTCTTGAGGTCCTATAATGCCAGAAAGGTCTGTTGGATAGTGGTTTGACGAAAAGTAGTTACCGCTGTAGTGTAAATTACTACATTACGATGAAGGTCTGAAGGAGAAGTCGTACTTCTGCTAGCTAGATGGGGTGTGACAGCAGTAAAATGCTTCCCACTGCTGGTCAGCAGTGCCACGCTGGTACTGCCTTCTCAACGGAACGGAAGGGTAGAAAAGGTCGACCCCCAAAATAATACTACTCCCCAACCACTCATCGTATGCTGATTCTTACAATAGGGATTCGTTATCAGATTCAACAGTGAAAAACCAAAATCTCAAAATTTTCAAAGACCATGAGTGACCAGCCTCAAGCAGATGTCCCATGAGCTCTGTGGTCACCCAAATCTTTTTCTCTTTTAGGTACCTAGAGAAGAAACAGCCTCCCATGGTGTGGGCAGCAGGGAAGTGTCAGCCATCTGCACGCCTTCAGTAGTACCCACGACACATTTAAACATAACCTGTCTTCCTAAACTCTTTCCCTTCATTTGCCT